CGGTGACGCCGGACGCCCATGGATGCCCCTGAGGAGCCGCTGCCGCCGGTGGTCTACACCATGGAGAACAAGCCCATCGTCACCTGTGAGTGCGGCGCGGGCAGGGGGCGCGGCCGGCCGGGGCGGCTCGGACTAGCCGGGACGGCGACCTCCGACCCCGGGAAGGATTCGGGCCCGGGACGGACTCGGGGCGGAGCGGCCGGCCCTGTGCTGCGCTGCCGGGGCTGCGGGCGGGTCCTTTCGGCCGGCCGGGCTCGCGTGCTGACCGCAGCCCCGCAGGCAGGCCCGGCCACCCCCGAGCGCAGGTGGTCTTCCTCCGGGACACCGCCAGCCACGGTGACCCTGCCCCGCCGGGTGGATCCTCCTGCACCTGCAGGCCCCTGTACAGAGATGCCGCCGGGCTGGGCGCGCTGGGAGCTGCACCACACCTAGTCCCGGGTCTGCCCCTTGAGCCTTCGTTCCGTTCGTTCTTCCACTTAGAGCGACACACACACACACACACACACACACACACACACACACACACACACACTGTTACAGAAAAAAAATTCCTCTGCTTTTTAAGCAAACTTTAGAAGAATATTTTTACAAGCCATGAACTTTCGGGAAGTGTTGAAATATTGGTTGACGTTTTGATGACTTGCAGAGCTGTCTTTCAAACTACAGGTATAGCCTTTTTGACAGGCGTGATATTTGACTGTTAGAGTTTAATATGAGCATGACTTTATTGCTTTTTTTCTTTTAAAAAATATTTTTATTTTATGTGTACAAGTGTATGGCCTGCATGTATGCAAGTGCACCTGTGACGTGCAGTGCCCACAGAGGTCAGAAGAGGGCGTCGGATTCTCTTGGAACTGGAGTTACAAACGGTTGTTAGCCACCATGTGTGTGCTGGGAATCGACCCCCAGTCCTCTGCAAGAGTAACCAGTTTCTCTTAACAGCTGAGCTATCTCTCCAGCCCTGTTCGTCTCTCTTTTAAAAGATTTACTTTTATTTACATGTTTGTGTCTCTGTGAATGTCTGCCATGTGTGAAGGTGCCTTGGAGACGGAAGAAGGTGTCTGATCCTCTGGAGCTGGGGTTCCCGGTGTTTGTGAGCGGAAGAGGGTGTCTGATCCTGTGGAGCTGGGGTTCCCGGTGTTTGTGAGCCACTTCATTTGGGTCTGGGACTTGAACTTGGGTCCTTTGGAAGAGCAGCAAGTGCTCTTAGCTCTTGAGCCATCCCCCCAGTCCCTGAAGCTAGTTTTTCTAAGCTGTCTTGCAGGCCTTGAAAGGAAGTACTGTTTACAGAACTTGGTGGGAGGCCAGAGGATGATTGGGGCCTCCAGTGCCCCAGGAGCTGCCGCACCACCCCCACCTGCCCCTTTCTCTGTCTTCTGCCCTCCAGTCTCATGGATGTATGTGCTATTTCTCTCAGCTCCTTCCTGCAGTATCCCTGAGCATTGTGTAAAGTTGTTTGTTGCTTTGTCTTTAGATGAAGTTTCTTAGGGAAGTGGACTCTGTTTCCCTTAAAGTTGGGAGACTTGAGACTTGCATAGTTCAGCAGTAGCTTGCTTGCTTGCTTTTCTTTCTTGAATGCTTGTCATCTAAAAGCCTTGGCAGGCTGTATCTGTAGGCCTGCGGATAGATGTGGCAGAGCTGGTCTGGAGGCCACACTGCCCAGGCACTTCCTGATCTCCTCAAGGAAACTGCACCCAATTCTTGTTTGGATTTAGTGTGGTCCATGTCCTGAGACCTCCTTCCCAAGTGCTGTGTGCAGTAGGGATGCTGAATGAATCTTCTCTGTTTGCAGGGCATCCACGTGCTTGATTGCATTTCCTAAGCACTTTGTCAGTACCTTCTGAAGATAAAGCTCCCCAGGTCCATGCCATCAGCTGTGACTAAAGGCATAGATTAGTTACCCTGGTAGTCAGTGTCTGGGAACATGTATGACCTGTAACTTCTGACCTTCATGAGTGCAGCGTGGGTGGCCACAGGGCTCAGCATGGCTGCAGGGTACTTCGCACCTTCTCGCAGGTTTGCTGGAGTTTGGGAAGAGGGTCACCCCTGGCTCTGAAGTAGCAGCATAAGAGAGTGTGGTGCTGATGGGGTCCCTGTACCGGCAGGGCCAGCCCTTCACTCACTAGAGTCTCAGAAAAGAAAGTAGCTTCAGAGAAAAATCTCTTCAAAATATTTATTCATCACCAGGCATGGTGGCGCACGCCTTTAATCCCAGCACTTGAGAGGCAGAGGCAGGCAGATCTCTGTGAGTTCAAGGCCAGCCTGGTCTACATAGTGAGTTCCAGGACAGCTGGGGCTACAGAGAGACCCTGTCTCAAAAAGACCAAAAAAAATTTTTTTTTTTATTTATCTTTTTTGTCTGCTTGGAAAGTCTGACTTGGCTGCTCACACTTGCGATGACATTCTCACGTTTCTGTGGCCGGGCCTTTGGTGGGCCTCCTCCTGGTTTTCATGTTTCTTGGGCTTTGGTGGGCACTCCGGGTCTCATTCCTTCCTCCTCTTGTTTCTCTCTCAGCTGTGTGTGTTGTGAAGGAGCTAGTGTAAGCAGAGCAGACGTCTACCCGGAGGCCAATCTGTTCTGAACTCCTCAATACTATGCACGTACTCCTTCCTCAGTGTGCTGTCCTCCCCACAACAGCCTTGCATTACATTTAGAACACCGAGCCAGTCAGTGTTCATTTTAAGATGAAAACTAGAGTTTATGCTTACCATTTTATGTGTGTGTATATGTGCACGTGTGTACGTCTGTGTGTGAATGCACATGTGGAGGACAGAGGTCAGCCTCAGGCGGCGTTCCTCTGGAGCTGTCCACTTTGTTTTCTTCAGACAAGGGCCTCTTACTGGGTTCTGGAGCTGACTGGTTCTGTTAGGCTGACTGGTTAGTGAACCCTAGGGAATATATCTATCCCAATTATCCCAGTGCTAGAATGCAGGCATGCCACCATGCCCTGTTTTTTACATGGATTCTAGGGGTCAAATTTGGGTCCTCATGATTCCCTGGTGAGCATTTTAAGGACTGGTGGTCTCCATTTTCTCTCCCTCCCTCCCTCCCTCCCTCCCTCTTCAGTGAAAAGAACAGTGCTTAGACCCTGGGCCTGAGAAGAATGCGAAGTTCCCAGAGATTAGGGGGAAATAGAATGAGATTGTTACTTGAAAACACTGCTGAGTTATTTTCATAATCTTTTGAACCTATAGAAATTTTAACAGGTTTGAGCCCATAATTCGAAGATTCTTAACCTCCTGCCTGTGCGCTGTGGCAGAGATTCCCTCAGCAGAGGACTTGCTTGTTGGTGCTGAAGCCCCTCTGTGGAATGTACAGGGTGCCAGCTAGACTGTTGGGAAGCCATACTGCAGTGGCTTGGGTGATGAATCACCTAATCAGAGTGATGCTTATTAATCATGAAAAATGCTCAGTGACACTGAAGTCCAGCAGGTCCAATCATCTAAGTTTTAAATTTTAGCTTAGATTTTTTTTCAACACAGGGCAGTTCTTCAGTTCAGAGTGAGACAGGTTTCTGCCCCAGGATGTGTTACTGGAGGCTTGTTCCTCCTGCCTCGTGCCGGTTTCCTGGAGACTCCATGCCACACCACTGGTCTGTGGCTTTCCTCTGTGAAGTAGCACGGATAGCACCATGGAACTGTGTGGCATCTAGAAGGTGCCAGTCCTCTCCAGATGATTGCCCTTCGCTAGGGGCAGATCTGCCTGGTGGGCTGTGGTGGAGAGGACAAAGAAGTTGTGCGCTTTGAAAGGACAAAGAAGACAGCAGAAACGAGCAGGTGTTTGTCCCTGGTGGGAGTTTGGGTTTTCCCCTGTAGATGAGAGTGTAGCTTTGGGTTTTGTACCAAGTCTGAAAGAATGAAGTGCTTATGATGCAGGCAGTTTTGTGCCAACAAAGGGAACTGTTTTTCTTTTCTTTCTTTTTTTTTTTTAAGATATATTTTATTTTACATGTGTGGGTGTTTTGTTTGCATGTATGCAAGTACACCATGTATATGCTGTGCCTGAGGGGGCCAGGCATCTCTTGGAACTGGAGTTATGTACAGTTTTTAGCTGCTAGGTGATCTGCAAGAGCAGTGAGTGTTCTTAACCATTGTGCCATCTCTCCAGCCCCAAGTGTGTTTTTCTTAAAATTAGTAAACAGGTGTAGGTAGGAGCCAGGAGCAAACCAGTGACCAAGGAGTGGGAGGAGCGTGTCTCCTGGGAGATCCCAGCTGGAGGGTATTTGAAGGCAGGGTCAGGGCTCCATGTGCTCACCTGGCTTTGGGTTTTCTTTTCTTTTTTTTTATCTCTGTGGTGGTGGGAATGGAACCCAGGACTTGTACTTGCTCAGCCACGAAACTGTATATCCTGTCTCGTTTCCACTTTTCTTTTTTTAAAAAATATTTTATTTTTTTGTTTTATGTGTATGAGTGTGTTACATATAGGTAGGTGCATCCGTGTTACGTGATGCCTGAGGAAGTCAGAAGAGGGTGTCGATCCCCTGGAACTGGAGTTAAGGATGGTTGTTAGTCTCCATGTGGGTGCTGGGACTTGAACCAGGGTCCTCTGCAAGAGCAGTCACTGCTTTTAACTGCTGAGCCATCTCTCCAGCCCCTCATTTTTACTTTTTGGGAACCCGGGCTGGTCTTGACTTTGGAATGCTCCTGCCTCAGCCTCTCAAGTAGCTGGGTTCACCTGCCTGCTGATTAGGAACCCTTGTGTCTTTGTGGCATAACCTTGGCCATCTTTACTTTGGCAGGCCCTCAACTGTGAAATGGTCAGGTTGACCTGAGGTTAAAAGAATGAATATATGCTAGTGCTGGTGTGCTGGGTAGCTTTAGTGTCAACTTGACACACCTGGGTTGAGGGAGCCTCAATTGGGAAATTGCCTCTATTGGACTGGCCTGTGGCCATGTCTGAAGGGCATCTTCTTGATGAGTGATGTGGGAGGGCCCAGCCCACTGTGGGTGGTGCCACCCCTGGGCAGGTGGGCCTGTGTTGCATAAGAAAGCAGGCTGAGCAGGGGCCAAGAGAGCAAGCCTGTAAGCAGCGTTCCTCCATGACCTGTGCTCCAGCTCCTGCCTCCAGGTTCCTGCCCTGAGTTC